CCTTTTCTATGGCACCTACTTCCTAGCTATGTTAGTTGGATCAGTTAAGAACGCTTCACTTTTGCAAAAATTTACCTTGAATTTGATCGGTTTTGGCGTGTGTGATTTAAGCGAACCGATAAGGTGTCATTCAAGTCTTCTTGTTTCCTTAATTGACACGTGATGTTTACGAAAGTCGCCTCGATAGATAAGATAGAGTTAATATCCATGGCTGTGGTATTTGTTTTTTGCTGAGTTCCGTTTCTTGTTGTAAATTGTCCTCCAAAGTTGTATGAAATTAAAGTCTTGGAAAGTGTCACGACAAGCCTTCGCTCCAGTGAAATTTAATTTTCGTAAAACTCCGAAAAATAAAGAGATCTGATCCAACTGATTGTGGTTTTAGTATAGGTACATGAATGTCTTACATTCGCATCGGTGAATCCCAGTATTCGTTTTCCTCGCGGTAAATGCAGGTAAACAAATCATTTTTCGGCATCAACCGCTCGGTTAACGCACGGCAAACAGCTTCTTTTCCTTTTGTTCATTGGCATTTTCCGAGTGTACAATAACGTATTCACCGTTCGCGAAATTCCAATGATATTTACAGACACCCACAAATTTTTCCTTGTACTCTTCAAAATTCATAAACCTAAACTTATTTCCAATGTATGATATTCCACAGCTATAAAACTATCCAAATAGGAGAAAAATATATTAGTATAAGGGCGGAATAATGAAGAATCTTTTTTCACATGCAAATGATTTGGATGAAGTTAGCAGAACCTTTCCAATGTATGATATTCCACAGCTATAAAACTATCCAAATAGGAGAAAAATATATTAGTATAAGGGCGGAATAATGAAGAATCTTTATTCACATGCAAATGATTTGGATGAAGTTAGCAGAACCTTGTTCTTTGGTGCTAGGAAAAAAAATACACATCAACATTTTTATTCGTGCTTGTTTTTTTTTTCATAATTTGTAATTTCTTGATCTTGTTTGCAGCTTGTTTTAGTTTTCCATTTTCCGCCCGCACCCTTTTGTCTGCGTAAGAAATGCGACATGATAATTTGGACTGTTTTAGTTGATTTTACTCTAAATCGTGAGACAAGTTATTGAACACTCATTTATTGTGTGACTACTAAGAACAAACACATCTGTTACCCTGCACATCTTTAGATCAGCTTTGCTAAATGCATACGACATCCCACTGTGACGGCTATCAAATGAACCACTCATAAATTGGTCATACTGTTTAGAATTCGGGAAAAAAACGTCTATACGTCAACATTTTCCTGTCATATTTCACCAGTTTCCTCAAAGCCCCTTGATTAAAATGTTAAGTAACCTAAAATCGGCTTCAACTGGCAGATTAATCCTTAATAAGAGTTAGCGGGACTGTAAAAAAAAAAAAAAAATTGGGGAAAATATATTTTCTTTTCCCAGCTATGTTTCATTAATAGTTTCTTCAAAACCTCTCGACTTCAATGTTGATTAACCTAAAGTCGAAGGGCTAGCTTTAATACGCAGAAATCATCTTTAATTCATAAAATTAAGAGCGAGCGGAACTGTGATGACGATGTTTGGGGAAAAACTATTTCACTTGTTCTGTCATGTTTCATTTATAGTCTCCTAAAAAACCTCCCAATCATAATGTTGAGTAGTCTAAAGTCAACAAGCTGACATTAGCAGAAATCGACAATGAAAGCTAATGGAACTATACAGAAGAATTTCTCCTAAGTTGCCTTTAGTTGACGAAAGAAAGAGGATTTTAATTTCCTTCATATCTAGATATTTACTTTTCGCTTGGAGGATTCCTAATTTAACTACTCGGCCAGGGCGATTGGCGTCAAAGCAATTGTTAGTTCCAGTGCCCAGTGCGGTAAATGGAAAGGCAGGAAATATTTAGTGGCTATTATTTTACAGGGGAATCGCTTCAATCGATTCGTCCTCGACAAAAGTTAAGTGCGAAACGCCTTTTGTTTCCACAATTTAGTGTTCATCATACATCAAAGTCGTACGTCAATTAAATGACAGCTGTTGTAATATTAATTTTTTTGTCATACTGCAGGCTTTTATTGGAGCTGATTATGAAGTCTTCTTCCTGTATTTGCAGAAAAAAATATAGGTTTCTATTGAACCAAGGTCGTGGTGGTTTCCGACGTGGCGCCGTTGTAAAGAGTACTGTTTCTACAAATTTTCCTTATTTCCTTTTTACTCTTCTAAAATCTGCGCCTAATTTTGCATGCCATACTAAATAATCGTACAACGAAAAAACCGCCGTCCGTTTACATGTATTATAGAAGGCCCGTGTTTGTTCATTGACAGGGGAAAATCTTTCGAAATAAGTTCCGCACGGACTGACGACACTAAACCCACACGCCAGCACACAACATACTGTAGTCTTCAACGCAGAAGCCAACTTTGATAGCGATTCCTGTGTCTTGAAGAGGTATGTGGTATAAGCTTTACTCAAACAAAATGCTCGCGATTCAACGCTTTGAGCTTAAGAAAGGTAAACATCTGTTGTGTCGAGTCCCCATCACTTAAATTAAATTCGTCCGACAAAATCGTGCAGTACAAATGGCAACTCTTAGTTCCAACGTAGAAGATTGCCTTTATTACTCTTTATTTTTCCGTCCTTCAGCATTCTTTCGTGCCATCATTGACCTGTAATGTGATAGGATATTGCTGATACTAAAACGTACAATTATTAGGGGCCCTTAGCAGTCAGGAAGACAACGCCAAAGAAGAAGTCGCCTGAAAAATGAATTTATATTTTTATGTAGGATTTCGCGAATGCCTGCAGGTGTTCACCGACTTTTCTTTTCGGTGCCATACCTTA